TGACACTTAAAAAAAAGTTGACTTCCCACTGCATGGTTGCCCACAAATTACAACCAATGCCATTTGCAGAGAATTGGAATTTCTTTTTGTAGCAGTGATATATGCTCTTAGCTTTCCTCCTTACAATTCAGATAAAGTACATCAATAAGCATCACATACAGTTCAGAACTCTATACTTACTTGAGACAGACAGTTTCAAACTAGAGATACATGCAAAAAAAGAAATTCAACTGATGTTCAATGAATGTATGAGTCTGGATAATTACTTATGGCATTCAATGGGCCAAGAAATAGGAAAAAGATTGAAGAACTAATGGGGCCAGTTAGAAACAGAGCAATTGGATAATAATTGATAACTTACGGTCTATTCGATTGAATACCATTCATAACCAACACTAAACAATACTAATTTCATAGTGCATTTACACTGTGTTTGGATTGAGTGATTTGGAGAGAAAAGAAAAGAAATAGAGAGAAATGTATTTCTCTTCCTTGTTTGGTTATCTTAAGTGGAGAGAAATGGGGAGAAATAGAGAGAAATGGAGAGAAACTCATTTCTCTCATAACCCTTATTTTCAATCTTCCCAAAAGTGGAGAGATTGGGAGAGAAAAGAAATCCACAAATGTTTATATTTTTATAATACCAATTTTACCCCTATAAAAATAAAAGAAATAAAATGATTGAAAATATAAAAAGGTTATTTTGGTAATATAACATAAAATAATTTCTTTTCTTTTCTCTTAATGAAATTTAACCAAACAAGAAGGAGAGAAATTAAAATCATTTCTTTTCTTTTATTTCTTACTTATCCAAACAAAAAGGAGAGAAATTACAATCATTTCTTTTCTTTTCTTTTCTCTTATTACTTAAGTAATCATTTCTTTTCTTTTCTCTCCTAAGTTACCAAACATAGCGTAGTGATGAGACGATAAACTATTTTGAGGAGCCAATCCTTAGCAATTTGTAGACCAAAAAATTAAAGCCCTGAAACTAAAAATTATACATTGTGGACCTTCGCAAGGGCCACAACCATAATCTCATTATGTCCAACTCCCCCAAAACAATCTTTATATCAAATGTGGCATTATTGCAATCCTAGTCGAATTCAATAAAATCAAAACTAGATACCCTGATTACAAAAAAAAAAGAAAAAGAGAGACCCTTTTCGGAATGCTTAGACTTAACCTCAACAACAACAACAAGGTTTTCAGAATGCTCAGACCCTTTTCAGTATATATCAACAACAACAACAACAGATTATTATTATTATTATTATTTTCCTTAAAAAAAATAATTAAACCCTAATTCAAGAAACCAGTTCGTATCATGATTTAAATCAAGGTTTTTCAGAAATTCAACTGAAATATGGTCAGCAATTTATAATATTATATAGAAGCCATAAATCAATTTCTAAGTCATATATACACAGAAACATACGTACAAACCCTAAATCAATTTCTCAGCTACATATACACAGACACTATATTACAATGCCTAAATCAATTTGTAAGTTATACTGTTATATATACAGAGACACATGCATATATACATACATACATACAAGCCCTAACCCTATATCAATTTGTAAGTTATATATCTCTATGTTGGAGTCACTGGTTCGAGTCGCTCTTTGGAACGGAGACTCGGTCGGCAACAGAAGATATAGACTCGATCGGCTTGGTCGGAGAGAAGACAAAGAGTCCTCCACTGTTCGGCGGGACTGACGCGAAGCGAGAAGCGAGAGAGTCGATCGTCGGGAGTGAGGATAGAGGGAGATAGAGAGGCTCGGTCGGAGAGAGAAAGTCGATCGTCGGCGGGGCTGCGCTTGTCGGGGAGTGAGAGGTCGAAGAGAAAGAGAGACAACAACGAATAGAGAGAGAGAGAAGAGAAGGAGCGAATATAAAGAGAGACGACTTTGAAAATAATTTTGAAATTTAAAATCAAGAATGAGAAAGAGATAGAAAAGGGCGAGTTAACAAAAGCGGTTGTTACGTCGGAGTCACGTCATTAGATCGAAAAAAATAAAATGGTTATTTGGGTCTACTCAATAATTTCAAATATGTGTTTTACCTGCTAAATGTATGTAGACTTAAACAACTTCAAATACAAAAACAACACTTAATCCAAAAAATAAAAAAAATACAAAAATACAAAATTGTGAAAATGATACACCTATCTAACATAGGTGGGTACATGTCACTTCCACCAAAAAATAAGTAAATAAATAAAAATAAAAGTTATAATACATGAAAATCTTCACCCTTCAATTTCCATGTTGCTTTCATGTTTCCTTTTCCGGTCCTCTTATGTCTGCATGTAACTTCCATTCTTTCTCTTTCTCTCCTTTTAATTTTTATGTCTTACATGAAAGACAAATAATTATTATGTAATCTATTGAAGTCTATACAGGGTGTTTGGGAAATAAGTTTTTTTGTAGATTTTTGAAAATCTTCACCCTTCAATTTCCATGTTGCTTTCATGTTTCCTTTTCCGGTCCTCTTATGTCTGCATGTAACTTCCATTCTTTCTCTTTCTCTCCTTTTAATTTTTATGTCTTACATGAAAGACAAATAATTATTATGTAATCTATTGAAGTCTATACAGGGGTGTTTGGGAAATAGGTTTTTTTGTAGATTTTTTTAGTTGTAGGATATTATTGGAGAATTTTTTTTTTTGTATTTAGAAAGATAGTTAGGTTTTTTTATGGTTGGATGTGATGTTTGTGAGAGAAAAAGTGAAATAATTATAGGTTTTAATGTGATATTTTGTTTGAATTTATTTTTTTAGTTTTGTAACCAATTTATCTTTTCATGAAAAAAAAACAAAACAAAAAAAGAAAAATCCAAAACCCAACTTCCCAATCGTGTGTCTGTAAAATTTTTATCTACACTGTTAGCTGAAAGTACCACACGAACAATTAATATAATCGTGTCCCTGTAAAATTACATAACTTGCGACATTTGTCATTCACTATCTCTCAACTATCCAACAGAAGTTAATTAATATAATCGTGTGTCTGTAAAATTTTCATCTACACTGTTAGCTGAAAGTACCACACGAACAATTATAACTTCTATTGTTTCTTTTTCTCTTTTTTTCTTTATGTCTCATATGAAAGACAAATAATTATTAGGCAGCCTCTTGGAGTCTAGTGCACCTGACAAATAAGCAACCACAAAACTCACCAGATTGGCCATCCACTATTGTTAACTATCCGGGAAGGTTGATTAACATGGTTCTATCTCCAAAGTTTTTTGCAATGCAATTAGTTGAAAGTACTACATAAAAAATGTCACAGGACAATTTGAGAGATTGCCTAAGAATGCATTAAAAGATAGCAAAAAATTAATTTTTAACTTTTAATCTATTTTAGGTCACATTATTTTTTTTATACGTTTTTTTAAAAAAAAAATCAAAAAAATCAAAAAGTCAATTTTTAACATGCTTCTCAAAATAACCTTAAATAAGTTCATTTATTTAGATTACATTACTTATCTAATTTTTTACAGATCTTTTTTATAAAAAATTAAAAACTATATTAAATAAGTAAACTCCAAACAATTCCTGATACTATTACTTTAATTACCCAAGCAAGACTCATACAGGATAGAGAGAGAGAGAGAGAGAGAGAGGTACCAAAGGTAAAGGTCACGCCAAGGTCTATTACGCATAGGGCACACCAATAATGCTTTATTGCCACATTCAACGTGGTCCAAATGTTCTATTATGTAAATGCCATGGTCCTATAATTGTCAATAGTATTGGAGCCACTATATGTATGGAGTGAATGAAATTGGGACTATCTATTGTGATTTTTACAGAAAATGATGTAAACCGCCCCCTTCCCTCCCCTCCCTATCTAACTGGAGATGTCATAACTGCAACAAATATACATATATATATATATATACATTGTCTTTTTGCTATGTCCTTTAATTGACATATTGGAAAACAGAAAATGATGTAAAACCTCCTTCGCTTTCATATATAAATGGAGATGTCACAATTACAACAAATATATATATATATACATTGTCTTTTTGCTATGTCCTTTAATTGACATATTGGAAAATAGAAAATGATGTAAAACCTCCTCCTCTTTCATATATAAATGGAGATGTCACAATTACAATAAATATATATATATATATATATAATTATTGTTTTCTTTGCTATGTCCTTCAATTGACATATTGTAAAACAAAGCTAGCTAGCTAGGGTATATTTTACAACCCCAAAGTACAGTATAATCAAGCAAGGACTTGAATTTTTTTTTTCTTTTATTTTTCTAATGTTGGTACTTTGGCAATGTACTTGTGTTTGTTTCTAGATTTTAGACTGAAATTGTTACATATGTCGTACTTCACCAAACCATTCTGATCAAACCCCCCAAAAAATATATTAAAAACAAAAAATGCTATACCATCATGCATTTGTACAACTCTGTGCTCACATCAATGTGTCAATTTTATGTGCCATGCCACATTATTTTTCAGGTAATTGTAAGTCATGTGTTGATTTACTATTATTAATTACATTTTTAGGTGTTTGTTTTCAATTTTCAGAATTTACTTTTCAAGAAATTCTATTTTTTCGTTTTTAATTTTTTTTTGTTTTCAATGATTTTTTTTAATATTTTAAGGAATTTTTTAATTTTTAAACACACTTAACATAAATACACTTAGAAAGTACAATATTTGTTTTTTTTAATAAAAAAATTCACTAAATACCAAAAATATAATTAAAAAAATGAAAATTCAGTACATTTTTTATATTTTTATGTATTTATTAATTTTTTAAAAATATTTTTTCACAAATAATTTATTATTTAGATACATCTAAATAAGGTACATCTAAAAAAAGTAAAAATATTGCTTAAAATTTAAAAAATATTCACTAAAAATAAAAAAAATAAAAAAAATAAAAAAACTTAATTTAAAAAAAATTAAATTCAAAAAACTGAAACTAAACAAATTGTATATGTTTTTGGACTGTGAAATGTTATGATTAGTAGTGTTAAAAATTAATTATCGTGTGTTTTGGAGCAAGTCCGAATCCTCAGTCGCCTCTGTCTGCCGCCCTTTTCCTGTAGCGGACGTCGTTTTGGAGCAACTTTTCAAGGAAAAAAAAAAAAAACACAAACAAAACTCAGAAATGGGAAAGAAAGAGAGCAGCGGTGGGTAACCCACACCACCGGGACCCTTGTAGCTGGCGACCTTTGGCCTCCTTCACCTACGGCACCACCACCTCCCTACTCTCTCCGCCGCAGCCCAACGTCCCTTCCTCTCTTCCATCTTCGCCGCAGCCTACCTTTCCTTCCTCTTCTCTATCTCTGATTGTTTCCATCAACATAACAAACCAAAAAAATAAATAAACATATAGAAAACTCATGTCTAAACAATCAAAACCCAGGTATCAAACTCAAAACCCATCAAATTCACATTATAACAAATCAAGCACGATTCACCCAATTCAGAAACAGAGAATTCAGAATTAAACCGATTTGATTAAAAGAAAATAATTTCAAATAATTTCTTTTAAGATTGATTAAAAGAAAATAATTTCAAATAGTTTTGTGGGTCTTTGGTGTACCTTAGAGCTCAAGTCAATTGTATGGAGGCTGCCGAGTAATTCAGATCTGAGTGAGTATTGATTTTGCAAAGAAGTTACCTCCTTTTCTGATGAGCAGGCTGTTGGAGCTTAAATTGAGGGTTTATAATGGGTTTGTGATTTGCGAATTGTAAGATTTTTGGTTTGGTTTAATTGGTGTGCGTTTTTGTTTTTCGAATCTGTGGAATGCATGTGAGATTTTTGACTATGGTGACATGATGGTGTGTGGAGACTTGATTGAGGAGAGGGGGAGTATTTTGAAGACAAAAAAAAGTTGCATTTGAACAACAGTTTAGGGCTCAAGATTATGACTGATACAACAAAGGGTTGAAGAGAGAGAGAGGGTTTGGTTTTGCTTGAAGGTCTGGCAACAATGGCGGGGAGGTGGTGGTGCCGCTGCTCTCTTTCTTCCCCATTTCTGAGTTATGTTTTTTTTTTTTCTTGAAAAGTTGCCCCAAAACGACGTCGCTTTGGGGCGCTACAGGAAAAGGCGGCAGACAAGGGTGACTGAGGATCCGGACTCGTTTTGGAGCATTGCATTTTAGGGCAGACTTCACTTAAACGTGTAGCTCCTAAATGCATTGGAGCAATAGGGTTAGACACGTGCTTAAATGTAAAAACCCCAAATGAGATCAAATGAGACATTTTTTCCCTTAAATATTCAGTTAATGGCGACTTCCATTGCATCAAAACAAAAAAAATAAAATAAAATAATAAGCAATCTAGACTCATCTCCTTTGTTAATAACTTTAAAGCTTCATACACTGAATAATGTGTGAGACACTATGTTCGTTTTGAAGGTGGATTGATTTTGTAATTTTTTAGCTTTTTAACTATTTTAATCTGAAGTTAAAAAGTCTCATTTAAGAAGAGTTTTTTGATTTTTTTGACTTTTTGTAAAAGAAAAAATGTAATGATTATAGGTTGGATGTGATATTTTATCTTATTAGGCTAAAATAGCCTATTTTGTATTATATGACTATTTTAGCCCAAACATTTCTTCCCAAACAGAGGTTAAATAATGAATAAATTATATTTTGTCTTTTATGTTTGGATGTTTTCTCGTTGTGGCACTTGAATTTTTTTCTTCTTTTTTTTTAAAATTTATTCTTAAAATTAATTTATGTTCAAAATTAAATAGAAAATATCACATTATTCTACCGTATAACATGAAAATATATTATTATATTAAAATTTAATTTTCAATGTATAACTTTTTTAAAAAGAATTTAGACATAAATTAATTTTAAGAGTAAATTAAAAAAATTAAATATAAATAGTCAAAATAAAAAAAAAATTAAGAGTCAAAATAAAAAAAATATCTGAGGGTAAAATATAATTTACCGCGAACAATGATCAATGGGACCAGCTACTACTTTTGTGGCTCCAATAACAAAACGCCACTTATTTCGACTGTACCCTATGACATAGGACACAAATAATTGTCCCTTCTATTCATCATTTTCGTTTATACTTGCACAATAAAGTGTTTCTTTTTTTTTATAAAAAAAAAAAATTTAATTATTATTATTTTTTTGTTTGAGTCACCACGCTTAATATTATTGGATTCTAGCTTGTGTTCCAAGTTTCATCTTGTGGTGGGGCTTTACTTGCTTTATATACTATGCACTTTATTAACTTTTTTTTTCATCCTTTGTCTCGTTTTAGATTATTTCTTTTTCTTTTCTTTTTTGCTTCAATTTCTTCAGTTTTCTTTCTTTTTCTTTGCTAGAATTTATTGTTATTATTATTATTATTATTATTTTATAGTTTTGTGTAAACCCAAAAGTATTATATAAGATGTGTGTTACCTTTGTAGATTAAGAGGTTGTTTGGGATGACCTAAATAAGTGTATTTTTTGTCTTTTTACGAAAAGATGTGCAGAAAAGTAAAGAGATGATGTGATGAAAAAAAAAATAAAAAGATAAATTATTATTTTATAGTTTTGTGTAAACCCAAAAGTATTATATAAGATGTGTGTTACCTTTGTAGATTAAGAGGTTGTTTCGGATGACCTAAATAAGTGTATTTTTTGTCTTTTTACAAAAAGATGTACAGAAAAATAAAGAGATGATGTGATGAAAAAAAATAAAAAGATAGATTATTTTTAAATTGCCAAACTTAACCTAATTATACCTTTGTTCCAACTAGTCTTTGTCGGTTTTGTCTCCAACTTGAATGACCTCATGATCCAGAAGTGGTAACCCCATCACATGCACATAAATATACAAAATATTTAAGGTAGATCACTCTTTCTCAAATTTCAGCAATTTTTTATTTTACCCAGTAGACTCCTTTTATTTTCTTTTTTTTTTTATTCTAGTTTTTAAAGTTTGTAGTTTTTTCTTTTTCAATTACTTTAACAATTCATTCAAAATTAAATAGAAAATGAATTTGGTAGCCACATGGTGCCATGTTGAATAAATTAGTATAGAAGTTACACTTTGTCTCCTTGAACTGTATTTGTATCATGAATTTTGGTAGGGATTTGCAAATATTAAAAAAAAAAAATAATTGTAAGGCAAATGTAATTGAAATATAAATTAAATTTTTTTCTTCTCTATTTCCCTTTCATTTTCAAATCTCTATTCAAATCATAATCTAAACACAGTGTTAGGTTTTACAATTTTCCTACTTTAACCATTAAATTTATTTTTTCTTACTTGATCGTTAGAGATTTTATTTTTTCCACATGCAATTAAGTTTTAACACTATATTAAGGAAAAATATTTGTGCAAGTTTCAGATATGAAAATAGTTATTTGGAATAACATTTATATTCGTAAATAATTATCATTCAAACAGTATGTTAACGATATGGTAATAATAATAATAATAATTCAAGATTTGGAAGATCACTAATCTAATTGTGAGGAAGAATAGAACTTTAACTGGTGAAATTTTCTATGTATTCGGAAGCCTCGATTTGTCCTCTTTATTTCGAATCATATCTTGTGCTTTGAGACTTGACCTGCCCCTAAACCTTACTTTTCCAATGTCAAAAGCATTGTTTTATCAATGAAAATTATTATTATAAAATACCAAACAACCAAAAAATAATATTTTAATAAAAAATGCCCGTGAAACATGGGCATGAAATAAATCAAAGGTCTCATATATGTTAGTGTAGAAATCTCCTTCATAGGTTAATGAGTAAACATGTAATCAAAATTGATTAGAAGTTAGATATTGTAAAAGCCACCTTGTTTTGATTTATTTACACACGATGCCTTGTTTGACAATTGTTTTTATTTTATTATTGTCTTTTATGATTATTTATAATAATAATAAAAAAAGAGATTTTTTTCTTTCTTTTTGGATATTTCTAGACTTGAACCCTTATAAGTTTTTAAAAATTAGAACAAATTGGATTTTTTTTTTTTCAAATATCTTTAGCGAACTATGTTTAATTTGATCCATTTTTAAAATTTTTAGGGCCGTAATATAGTCCAAAAAAAAAAAAGACAAAATATTGGGAAAAAAATTATTGAAGACAAAAAAAGGTAAAAAATTTATATATATATATATATATATTGAAAAGAAAACAAAAATAAAAAGAAGAAGAGTGAAGACAAAAACAAGGATTATTTCATGTATTGACAGTCATTTGGATCATAATGATGAAATATATATGTCATATTTTGTGGTAAAATTTAATAATTAATCAACCTAATGACAGTGAATGATATGATAAAATTTTGGCATACAATGCCAAAAGTTAAAAGTGGAGCATATTTATTGACTCACACACCCTTACCTAGCACTTTGGCTAAGATGCTTGGATCAATGATGATTTATTTATATGGTTGTTTTTTTCAGAACAAATCTCTATCTCAAGAAACTAAGATATAAAAGTGAATAGCTCTAATGCATCAAAAGCATACAAGTATCTTAATCATTCACTTAAAAAGCATTTAGATGAAGGAAAATATTTGGTAGCTCAAAATTTTGTGGTTCAAATGGCTCAAATTTGTTAAAATGACGTCGTTTTACACTCATTTACACTCAAAACGACGTCGTTTTGAGTGATTTGAGCCATTTAAGCCACAAAATTTTGAGCTACCTAATATTGTTGTTAGATGAATATGTTTCCAACTCAAAAGAAAAGACAAAGATGGTTTCCTCACTATTTCCTCTTCTATTCCATTCCATCTCATTGGGTCAGTCTTTCCCAACTTTCTGTTAGCCACTAGGGCTCTTCCTGTTCATCAAAAATCGCCCCCCCCCCACCAAAAAAAAAAAAAAAAAAAAAAAAAAAAAAAAAAAAAAAAAAGCCCTGGAAAATGAAAAGAAGGGGCAATATAAGAAAAAGATGGGCAAATTATACTAACCATTTCTGACGTTTAGAAAAATTAAAATATAATACTAATCTCATAAGTTTGGCACATAAATAAATATAATAAAATAAAATAAAATATACATTTCAATATAAAAAAAATTACAAATAAAAAAGGGATTAACTATTATGTGAATTAAAACTTTACAAGAGAATTCAATATAATTACATAGGATGTCACATTGTTTGATATTTACATACATTTAATCCTCTCATTTCACTGTACTAAGTAATTTTTTACTATAAGTCTTGAGAATAACTTCAAGGGAAAGCGAGAATTAAAAGTGAACTATTAGTCAACCCATAACTTCTCACGTGAAAAATACATATCCTAACCACTATGCACAATTGGTTTCTTTGAAGACTAGTTGTACTATTTATGGTAAATTTCCATGGGGTGTGTCACATTTACCATCTTATTACCCCAACCTAGTAATCACACACACACACACACACATATATCACCTCAAAACATAAGATATAGTATAATTGTTTTTTGTAACATATGGTCAGTTTGGTCATTTTCTCTCTGCATGTGACAGGTTTTGTATTTGTTATCAACAATAATAACAATTCCCTCTCCTCCCTCTACGTACAACCACCCATACGTCTATGCCAACCAATTTTGTACTAGATTCCTAGTATTTTTGTTTGTCAATTGCCTGCAAGATGAGGGTGTACAGTACTATTTGCTGTCTTGCTCCATCAATAGACAAAAGGGCAAATTATACTGACAGTTCCTATAGTTTGGGACTCGTGTCACTTTAGTCCTTAACTTTTCAATTGTGACACATTTGATTCTAAATTTTGAATCTTGTTCCAAATGAAGACAATTGAAGATATCATTGCTTAATTTCAAAGGCAAAATCGTCAATTTGATAAAATATAAACTAATTTGACAAAAATAAATGCCAAAAAAATATTTTTAAATTTTTAAAAATTATTTCTACCCACCAAAGATAAAATTATGTAAATTTGATAAAAATTACATGATTAATTTTTAAAAATTAATTTTACATGATTATCATCCAAACACATAATAAAAATTAACTTGGTAAAATAAATAAATAAATGTATAAAAGATTTATCGATTTTACATAATTTTATCTTTAGTGGATAGAAATAATTTTTAAAAATTCAAAAATATTTTTTTGACATTTATTTTTATCAAATTAGTTTATATTTTATCAAATTGAGTATTTTGTCCTTGAAAAATCCAATGGTATTTTCAATTGTCCTTATTTGGAATAAGATTCAAAATTCATGATCAAATGTGCCACAATTAAGAAGTCAGGGAACAAAATGACATAAGTTCTAAATTATCGGGACCGTTAGTGTAGTTCACCCTAGACAAAAATCAATATCATTCTCAAACCAAATATTGATTGGCCTAGCTAGGTTTGGATCTTCATCATTTCATGACCACACATTACTGTTATTTAGGTGAGCTTTTAATCTCTATTGTTTGGTGCACTTAGTATCTGCTAGGTCCCTTGATGGGTTATTATAAACAGTGTGGGTCGTCCTTATTGAACTCAAGAATCTCTAGCCATGACAGGTTAACTACAATATCTCTGTGATATGAATTATCACCTCATTCCATAATTTTCTTAATTCAAACCGATCTAATAACCACCTTAAGATCAATAAGTCTATGTATACACAATTAAATTCTATAGCAAAATATTCATAACATACCCTGTTAATTAGCATGGTGGAACTCATATCTCTAGAGAAAGAGAAAAAAAAAAAGTTTGTACAACAAAAGCCTCTTTGGTTAGATGAAAAAAAGTCACTATCAAGCCAAATTGGGCAGACATGAGTTGGCTTATTTCATTAATTATTTATATATATAAATGGGTCTTATTGTTCAAATATGTACATTCAAGATACTTTTTATAATTTAATTCGAGTAGGTAGACTTATTTGTATTAATATTAATTGATTTAACTGGGAGATGTGGAAAATGAAAGGGATAGAGATATTGAGACCACATATTCATGGACAAATTTTTTTAATGGTTTTAGGTGGTTTCATGCAGCTCATGTCCCTACTTACTTTAATTTCATCTTATGATAAAAATGATTAATTCAAATATAATATTATAGACATAAAAGAAATTATTCAACTAGATGTATCGCCATTTTCCACACACACTTCCAAAAAAAAAAAAGTTTTACCTTTTATTTTTATTTTTATAGAATTTACCCAGAGAGCATATAGTTTGCCATATGATTAAAGTGAAGAAAGTAAGCAAGATGATACGAAAGAAAGAGTGAGTGACTTAAACAATAAAATAAATAAATAAAATGAAAGTAAATAAAGAAAAGAAAAGAAAAGAAAAGAAAAAAAAGTCTAAAGTGTGACCAAGATCATGACCTAGTGTGTGTCCAAACTCGGTAGGCACATATAATCTCCTATGAATAATTACAAAAAGAGAACTGTTATAAAAATATATATATATATATATATTCACAAAAATTAGTACAAGATGATCTATATTTTTAAAACTGTTATTATCATGTCATTTTTATAATAAATTGTGTATAAAAATTCTGTAACCATGTTATTTTCTTTATACAATGGATGCTTCCTTTTACTTATTTAATATATTATTGACCAATTTAATTTGTCTTCATGTTCTACATTAGTTAGGTGACAAAGGTAAAAAGACAATTTAATCGAAAACAATGACTATTTATTGACATCTTGGTAGACCAAGTTTGAGTCATAAAAATAATTTCTACAGAAATAAAATAAAACTCCTCATATCCCGTTTTAACAAAAACTTCATGCATCCAACATTTTTTTTTTATAATTAAGATTTGGCCCAGTGCCAGTGGCATTGTATGGTGAGAAAAAAAAATTAAAAACTCAAACTGATGGAACAGACCCTTTAAATATGATATAACTTTATTAACAAAAACCACCGTCGTACAATTATATTTTCTTTCTCGGATGATGTAGGCAGAGAATTTCCACCCACATGCTTCTTTACATGGAACACCAGCTATGCAGTCTTATAAAATAAAAAAATAAAAACAATAAAGAAAGGTTGAGGTCAAAGTGAAGTTGTCATGATATCAACGACACATGATGCATTTCTTGAGTTCTATCATCTAGGTTTCTAAATTTAGCAACTCAACATCAACTGCATCAAAACCCATTAGACTATGGATTTCTAAATTTAGGCTTATTTTGGGGGACGTGGTCACAATAGCAATTTGTTGCGAGTCCGTGGGGGTTCGAGTTTTTTTTATGATCTGAACTGTTCATATTATAAGATTTGTTAAGTATATCATACATGCAAAAAATTAAGTTAATCAGAAATCTGTAACTCTATGATCAAATTTAAATTGTTTTATAAAATTATCAAGATAATGTTAACCGTTTATGTTTTTAAAAACAAATGTAGTCTTGTTATAAAGTTATAAATTTCCAATCAATTTGATTTTTTACATGAATGATTTGTTTAACAAACCTTATAATATGAACGGTTCAGATCATCATAAAAGACTCGAAAAAATTCTCCACGGGAGCACAGCAGCACCCCCAGGTTTTATTTTGGAAAGTGGGTTAAAAGTCACTTCTCAGCTTTTAACCCACTTCCCTCTCTCACAGAAAAGTCAAAAAAATAACTTTTAATCATCTTTCCAAAATACTCCTTAGCAACTGAACTACATCAAAATTACGAATGCTCAGTGAATATTTTGACTCGTTCAAATCGAACTGATCCGTCGCATTTTGGACGAATGCGTAATGACAAGCGAACGGTTACATATTGATATTTTCTAATCCACCTAGTTTTGGATGGATGGCGAATTTGAAGTTCTTTTAGCCGCAACTGAACCACCGAACCGCCAAACCGCAAGTACCTCTAGTAATTTGTAAGACTTTGTGTTTTCAATTTATTTAGTTATTCTGTTTGTGTTTTTAATTGAAAAAGAGTTTAGATATTCTGTTATGTTTTCAATTTGAATTTTTTTTTATCAAATGGCAAGTGTTGATATTTAGTATTTTTATATAGAAAATATAAAGTTAATTTTATGATTTTTTAAAAACAATCAAATTAAATAGTTTTTGAATAATAAAAAAAGTAATGAAATAGTTTTGATAATACATGATTTTCTTATATGTATTTATTATTGGTATTTGACAATTTACGTGATAATCTTTTAGTTATTTGAGTTGGATTGTTATCCAAAAAAAAATGTTAGACAGTTTGTTATATTATGTTCAAAATTTATAAAAATTTAAATTGCCAAATCGATTAGCATTTATCCGTAAATCCACTCAATCTGCATCCGTTAATCCGACAGACAGATATAGATTAATTTTTTTCAATTCGCCAATCTAATAAATGAATAACGGATTGAAAATTTCTGACCATAATCAAACTGCGTGCAACCCTACTCAAAACCTTGAGACTATGGGTTTTTAAGGCTAGCAACTTAACTTGTGTTACATGGACTCGGCACTTTGGGGCGAAATACCCGTGTCGACACGACACGACACGATACGGGTGTGAGTGTGGGATCTGTGTCGAATTCACATGTGCTCTCTCGGACATGGCTCTTTACAAACAGCAAAAGAGATGAAAGAGGGAGAGAAAGAGAGAACCCGGTCACCTGTTGAAATGGCGAAGACATCGGTCGCTGCTTTGACTGCTTCGACATGCTCGATGCTCGATCTCCATCTCCTGCTTTGTCTTCTCTCTCGTCTCTCGATCTCCTTCTCTGTCTTCTCTCTCGTCTCTCGTCTCTCGTCTCTCGATCTCTCGATCTCTCGATCTCTCTTCCTCTCTTCTCGTCTCTCGATCTCGATCTCCCTTCTCTCTCTCTCGGTCGCCAACTTCTTTCTTCTCTTCTCTATTCTTTCTTCTCTTCTTTGTTCTCTCGATCTTTCTCTATTAGTATATAATATTAGTAGATAATATAATAATATAATAATATATTGGTATATAATAATAATAATATATTTATTAGTATATAATATTAGTAGATAATATAAATCTCATAATATAATAATATAATATATAATATTATTTTTTTTTTATTCAAATATAATATTATTCATCCATTATTCATATTACATTTATATTAACATATAGTATAAATTACATTAATATAATAATATATAATACTATTCATCCAAAAAAATTATATAATACAATATATCATAAATAATATAATTTTTATGTCTAAAATAAAAATAACTTATTTTAGCATATATAATATAATTTATTTTATATCTAAAATAATTTTTATTTGTTATTTATATAATATAACTCGTCTTCATATAATAAATATATATTTTTCAAAACAAACTATTTAACGTATTCCCGTACCCGTATTCAAATTTGAATACATATCCACGTATTCTAAATTTTTAATTTTGAAGTGTCCGACCCTTAGATACACATCCGCAGCCGATACCCGCATCCGAGTCCGTGTAACATAGAACTTAACTATATCAAAACACATATGACACTCCCATTTTGTATAAAAAACTTAACAAAATGTTTTATTTCACAAACACGCTAATTTACATGGGATTTTCTCAATCAACTAACTTGATTAATTTAATGTTCAATATATATAACATGAATGGGAAGATTAGGAAGGATTGATTCAAATAAAAATCAAACAAAAAAAAAAACAAAAAAGGAGGATTGATGTTTACAGAGTAGTAACAAACACCTTCAAGCCCACAAGAAAGGCTCTTCAGGCCAAAACTCATCATCAACTGGCTCGGCTCGGCTCAGCTGCCACGCTGGTGTGTAATAGAGGTCGTTGATTCGATAACCGAGGTTTAGGAAGAGATCTGGAAGGTCGAAAAATGGGTCATCAATGTTGCTCAGAGGTGAATTTGATGACTCTCTGGCTCTATTATCATGAGATGCCATGGTGGAGTCCGGTGAGCGCGAACCCATCAGCTCGGCTTGGCTCGGCTCAGATTCAATTTCAGCTTCATGGCTCCTCAGAGTGGCTAGGGCAGCTGCTTTGGAAGCCGCGGCCTGGATGTCTTTGGGGGACTTGGAAGCTGGGCAGGGCAGCTCATGAGCCAGCGAGGGGAAGTTGAGATGAGCCGACTGACCTTTGATTGCAATGGCAGCTACGTCGTGGGCTCGAGCCGCCATTTCGGCTGTCGCGAAAGTGCCAAGCCATATTCTTGATTTCTTTCTCGGCTCTCGGATTTCAGACACCCATTTCCCCCAACTACGCATGCGAACGCCGCGATAAATCGGGTGTTTTCCATCATCACTACTCTTCTTGGCCTTCTTGTTTATCTCATTGTCTTTTTTGGGTTCTTGAACCCTTTTAGACCCTTTTTTTATCACTAATTTGGTTGAGATGGTTGTTGGAGAAGAGCATGATGGGGAGGAGGAGGTGGCAGTTGTGATGGTGATGGTGGCGGCAGCGACGGTGTTAGTGGTGGTGGCGCTGGTGGAAGAAGTGGAACAAGTGGTTTGATCTTCACATTCTAAGCTAATAGCTTCTTCCATAATGGCTGGGGAGGGGTTTTGGTTTGTAGCAGAGAACATGGTGGAGATAAGACTATGGGAAGGTGAGCTTCTTATAATTCTACACAAAATGGAATAAAGTCAATATGAAAAGAAAAAGAAAAAGAAAAAGAAATGGGATTAAAACGACATATAATATTAATTTGAGTTTTTTTTTTTTTGGTTTGCAATAATATATATATATATATATATATGAAATTCTATTATAAAATTATGAAAGTTTTTATAAATTTATATAAATATTCTCACAAAAATATGTAAATTGAACACAATTTCACTTAAGTTCGTGAAATTTATGTAATTAAGTGAATTTATATTTAATTTATAAATTTTTATAAAGTTACTTATATAAATTTATAATAAAATTACATATACCGCACATTGCACAGGAAAATATTTTCCAATTAATTTTTTGTTCATTGTTAACCCAAGATAGTACTTGGTTTGTCATTTTCTTTTCTTTCTGCAATCTCTTGTTTTCTTGGCCTCTCTCAATGTCTCATTAATGATTTGGAAATTTTTTGTCTGCCATGTGCTGGTTAGTTTAATTTATTTTATTTTTATATAAAAATTGATATTTAGGTCTTTTTTTAGAAAGATGGTTAAAATTCAAAAGCAAATTTTTAACTTATTTACATTATCTCTCTATGTTTTTTTTATACGATTTTTCAAAAAAAAAATAAAAATAAAAAAGTTAATTTTTAATCAACTTTTCAAAATAATCCTTATGTATTGCCAATGTTTCACTCAATTTTTAACACATTAAAAACACAAGAAAGATGGACGTAGGTCCCTTGAAATAATTGGCTTACAATAATTCCTCAATTTCATTTTCGAATAATGAGGATAATTATATTTTTCTAATATACTTTATTAATTATTTTCTGTGTCAGTACTTTATTACTAATATAATGTTAATATACAAAATAATAAACAAAACATAATTTAAAAAAAAATTATTGTTATCACATTATCGTCGAACTTTAAGTTGGCCTAACTTCCTCCCTCTAGCAAGGGAACTTGTTCTAATTTATTTATTTATTTTTACATAGCAGAACTTGTTCTAAATTATTTGTTGAAATAGTGTGTGTGTTTCATTATTAACACCATGTTTGAAGCAATTAATACATCAATTTTAATTAACTCAACATTAGCACCAATTAAGTTGATCTAATCCATGTACTTCCATAACATGCATTTGATAATTTTCCCCATTCCATGTGCGTTGAAGTTGCGGAGAAGTTCTCACTGATTTGCTAATAATTTTCTCTCAAAGATAACCACACTGCCAACTAAATACTCAGCTGGAGAATACCGGCAGAATAGATTAAACCCAAACGATCTGCAACAGAAAGAAGAGATTCCGGTGGTGGTTCGTCCACCCAGGGGCACTCTGATAATCAAGTCAATAAAATATCTCTCAAAGATAACCAATAGTACTTAACTCACTAGACAGAGCATAAAAAGCATACCTTAGACCCATGGAAGTGCCTCACTTTTATAGCCAACACAATCCTAGTCCCAATAGAAGCCTAGCTCCAATGGATTTAGGATTACTGCTAATCTTGGACTCCTAGTAGGATTTGGATAAACTCTCTAAGAGTCTTATCTTTACCAAAACTGAAGTCTTCTCCCATTCTAGGACTCTTGTCCCTTATCCGCTTATCCTGGATTCTAGTATTCTCGCAGATAACCTCGGCCTAGCCGAGATCATCTCGGCATCATGACCGGGACACGTGACACCTCGGCTGACACTTCGGTGTCACCTCGGCCACGTGTTTGTCATTCAAAAATTATGTCCCCACAACTGCCCCCTAAGTTCTATTACGTCGGCATCCTGAGCTGATGGAACCTATATCATTTCTTTCATTTAGTACGTCAGCTAAGCTCGCTTCATCATCTATTGCCGAAATCAGAACTCGTCAGCTCAATATGACCAAGACCTATAGTCTGCTTTCATCAATGCCTTAGAACCAACGACCAAGTTCGTTCAAGTTTCTCAGCCAAAACCTTCCTCCTAGCTGAGGTATTTGCTTCATTGAATCAAGAACTCCAAGAGTTCTAGCACGCGTATGAGCTGGCTCGCACAGTATTTCAACCGTTTTTACCATGCGTCTTTTCTCTACTGGACCGTACCTGATATGAGCTATCAAGTCGCATCACTTTTGTGTGCGCTGTCTGACAAGCACGTCGTCCAAGGCACCATAATTGCCATTTTGCCGCCATTTCATGCTTTTGATCAACTCTCTCTCTGTCTTTTCATTTCTGCATCTTCGTTCTTGTTCAAACTTTCTCTCTCAAATCTTCCATTGCTGCTTTTGCAAAGCTTTCTGCAACCAGTTTCATTTTCTCCCTCCAATGAGGCTTTCGTTGCACTTCTTTGCTTACTACCACCGTCTGACACTAATGTACTTCACACCGGCCTTTTTGTAATCTAAACAATCATTCTTCAATGTTTAGGCCGAAGTGCCTTCTTTTCTTTTCTAAATGCATTCTATACTTAAAATAATTTGCATGTCTTCAAAATACACCTTCACTGTGCAATCTCCTCGGGGTGTAACACCTCGGTTGTACTCACTAATCGGTTTTATCTCAGCCTCGGCTTAACACTTGAAAATATTTTTTTACAATATTTTCACAAGTGTTATTTACAACTCGATACTTCACTCTTAGTAAGACTTATGTTTTCAAATTTCTTCCAAGTCTTGGCAACATGGTAATCTCGGCAAGTATGTAGATATTTCTTTCAACATAACCTTGGCTTAACTTGTAAATTTTTCTCAAAATTTCAACAAGTGTTTAAACTAATCTTCTTTTAACATAACCTCGGTTAACTTTAACTTGTAAACTTTAAATTTCAACAAGCGTTAAACGTAATCTCGGTTTAACTTCAACTTGTAAACTTAAATTTCAACAAGCGTTAAACGTGACCTCGGTTTAACTTCAACTTGTAAACTTAAATTTCAACAAGTGTTAAACACATCATCGGTTTAACTTCAACTTGTAAATTTCAATTTCAACAAGTGTTAAACACGTCCTTGGTTGTAAATTTAAAATTTCAACAAGTGTTTAAACTAATCTTAGCTTATGAAATTCCAACTTCCAAGCATCATTCTTCAGCCCTTTGCCCCTTGATGTGAACTTAAGTTCCACTTGGGTTCTCATTAGGCACGTGGCTTTGACCTCGTCGCCGATGTAAGATTTGAACAAAAACTGGCCGAGATTATTAACCTTGGTCTCTTTACTAAGGCACTTAGCTCCAATCTGTGTCTGATTTTGCCGATATAACAAGTCCAGGTTAACCCAACTTAGTTCAACTTTATTGTATGCAAGTAAAGTTTCTACTCTGCCATATAATAAGTCTATGTCATTCGTCATGTTTCAATCAGAAACATCGTCATAGGACTGGTCGGTCCTATCGCACAGATTCCAAAAATCAAACTAGCACTTCAGCCGTTATGCCCTATTGCCGGCAACCTTTCTCAGGCTGAGGTCCCTAACTTTGAACTCTCTTGGGCTGACCTTCTTGTTGTAAGCCCTAGCAAGTTGTTGCTGGTATGCCCCCAGCTGAATTGCTGTTCTGTCGCACATTGCAGATGGATTTCAAAGCTTTTTCATGCTTTTTTACATAGGCTTCAACTTCCTTTTGCATGTAAGGCCAAAAGAATCCCTACGACATTGCTCTATGGGTAAGGGATCTGCCCCCTACATGGCTTCCACATACTTCTTTGTGGACCTTATATAAAAATTCTTTAACTTAGGCCAAGCTCTTCTATTCTCGGACTTAATCATCTAGGCCAAGATCTTGTCTTCTGGGATCTGGGATTTGAGATCTGGAATCCGGGATCTGCTCACTTGGGCTAAGCTCTTGTCTTCTCGTATCCAGTGTTATCTTGGTTTCGCTTCGGCGAACCATTTCTCTTCTCTTGTTTGGACGCCTTTGTCCCTAGCGTGTCTTCTTCGGTTCTGGTATACTTTTCTATCCTGGCCATCAGCTCCTCTATGCTTTTCAGCAATGTCTTTGCCAGTTATTTTCGAAGCAGGCAGTCATCCTTCAAGCAGTTTTTAAACGACACGACCGCCACCTCTTGGTTGCATCCTGGTATTCGGTTGAATACCTCATAATACCTTTTGGCATAGGCCCTAAGACTTTCATCCTCGCCGATCTTCAGGGCCATTAGGGCATCCACCCTCAATGGCTGTAGCTTGTTTGTCACGAACCTGACCACAAACATATTGGCCAGGCCATCCCAGGTTTTCACAGTTCCTTTCGACAACTTGCGAAACCAGTCCAATGTAATTTTTCCGAAGGATGAGGGGAACACCTTGTAGAGCAACGGCTCGTTCCCGGTGTACAACGCCATCGAGTTCAGGTACAAGCCGACGTGAAGGTTGGGGTCCGACTTACCGTCGTAGATCTGGAATCTCGGCATGCTAAACCTTTTTAGGGCTTCGAATTTGTCCAATTCTACCGAGAACGGCGTTCTCGTCTTGACCGGGGAGGTTACCTCGGCATCTTGTTGCTTCCTCTGTAGGTGATCCCCCAGATCTGCTTTGGTCCATCCAGGAGCTCGGCTATCTCCTGACTTCAGCATTTTCGGTTCACTACTCCTAGTTTCATTATGGGTCCTTTTGGACTTCCCTCCATTGGTTGTGTCAAAACACAACTCTTGTCCTTGAACATGCCGATGTTCTTTAGGGTCGGCTTCCTTGGTGCGATGCATCCTCCTCAATTCTTCACTTCTTGACTCTCCTCGCCCGACCTCCCTTGAAGGCCGGTGACAGTGTTTTTCGGTCCTGGTGTGTTGGGGGACTGTAGGGACTGTTTTTTGCCCCTCTTTTCGAACATCCTCCTTTGCCGCTGGAATTGGCATATCTTGTAGTGGGAACGGTGGCTGCATGACGTTATTCTGCATCATGAAATTGACCACTGTTTTTGGGTCCGCCAATTTGTTCACCATGGCCTTTACCTCATCGTCCCTTCATGGGCATC